AGTACGGGGGTTTCAAAAAAGGTAGTACGGGGGGTAAAAAAAGGTAGTAACTGGGGGTGCACAAAGATAATAAAGGTCCACAAAGATAATAAAGGTCCACAAAGATAATAATAAAGGTCCACAAAGATAATGAAGGTCCACAAAGATAATAATGAAGGTCCACAAAGATAATAATGAAGGTCCACAAAGACAATGAAGGTCCACAAAGATAATAATGAAGGTCCACAAAGATAATAATGAAGGTCCACAAAGATAATAATGAAGGTCCACAAAGACAATGAAGGTCCACAAAGATAATAATAAAGGTCCACAAAGATAATAATAAAGGTCCACAAAGATAATAATAAAGGTCCACAAAGATAATAATGAAGGTCCACAAAGATAATAATGAAGGTCCACAAAGATAATAATGAAGGTCCACAAAGATAATAATGAAGGTCCACAAAGATAATAATGAAGGTCCACAAAGATAATACTGGGGTCCCTCAAAATTACAAGAAGCTGCAGTGTAAAATGTATAATTACCCACAATAAGGCCGATAAAACTAAATCTTCTCCATGGGGAAGTGGAACAGAATTCTTCCTCCGTAACCCATGCGTGTTGTAAAGAAGGGGACTAAAATGGCCGGGACAAGGGCCCAGTAACCCCTTCTCCTGTATAAATTATTAAATTTAAAAAGAGAAACTTTCGTTTTTCTTTTTGGGCCACCCTGCCTTGGTGGGATACGGCCGGTTTGTTCAAAAAAAAAAAAAAAAAAAAAACTTCAAATTTTGAGAGCAGTTTCAAAATCAGAGTAGCCAGAACTTGCCTCCAAAGCACTGACATATTTAATGCCATTCCTCACTGCATATTTTATGCGAGCGAGCTTTCTCCCAGCTCTTTTATTAAAATCAAAAAAACAGAAAACAGGGTGGATTTAGAGCTTGATCTACGCTTAAAACTGCATGCCACCAAGCCTGAAATTCGGAACAAATGTCAACAAAACAGTTTCAACCACCTAATTTATATACAGTAAGCCCTCGACTTACAAACATGTTGAGAATCTTAGTATTGTGTATGCCATTGTGTACAATATCTTATTATACATTATTATACACAATGCAGGAGGTCCCCAATGTGTTTTAAGCGAGGATTTACTGTGATGGGATACCGGTTACATACCTGTGATATACCTGTCTATATGAATTTAAAAAAAACTGAATAAAAGAAGCATTCAATTTAAAATCCAGATTTTGTGCTTTTAAAACCGGAAAACAAAAATTTTGGGAATTAGTAAAAAATCTGGAAAAGAATTTCCCAATTTAAAACAATTCCCCACCAAGACTGGATGACCCAAAAAAAAAACACTTTCACCATCATTCACTTCCATTGCTGTCTTGCTAGAAGTGTGTAGATACTACAGTTCAGAATGTAATATCCCCAGGTTGTAATTTGAGTAAACTTACTGTCTACTACAAATAAAAACAAATGTACAACTTAAACTATGATCAATTTCTTTAACACAGTTTCGGCAATCGTAAATTTTGCCAGTCATAGGGGTATTTTCGTATAAACATGGACTCGCTTTTCATAGGTTGACTCGCGAATAGTAGTTTCGTCTGGGATGGTACGCACGGTGTGAGCCGGGAGGCCTCCCTACCCAGCCAGATTGCATTGTTTTACCAGTGAGTGAAGGTCCCCTCAAATGCTCCTACGAAATATTTCATAATATTCCACTCATTTTAGTGCTTGCAAGTACTAAGTAAGCTACCAATGGCTCCAAAGAAAGCTCCTAGTGCCAAGCCTGTGGTAAAAGAAGGTGAGAAAATATGTCAGTGACAAAATCTTGGGCCCTTTTAGGGAAGTGTTAAAGAGATGCCAGAAACAGAGCTCTCTCCACAGTTACTTTGTGGGGACAGGACTCCAGTGACTCTCAAGGTGGTCCTAGTGGCATAAGAAACAAGAAAGAGAAGCAACCCAGAGAAGCAATTTGTACCTGAGGTGTTGTGGAAGGGGATTCCCCCCTTTCCAAACTATAAACAATCCACTCTCTCTCCTCCTCCAGTCTCCCATACACTAAGAAAATCTCCCAAAAAAGGTAAGTGTTTTTGCTGTTAATGTTTCATTCATCATTTACCATTGTATGTTTATGTACTACATTATATTTCATGTAAAAAATTTTTTTGTTTTAATACTTCTGGTTGTCAGGAACGGATTAATTGTTTTTTACATTATTTCTTATGGGAAAATTGATTCGCAAATCGTTTAAATTTTGTTTTATAGTTAGCTCCTCCAGGAACGGATTAATTACGAAAAACGAGGGACCACTGTATTAAGTAGTCTGTAAGCCATTAAATTTAGTCTTCCCATAATGCCGTGGCATGATAGTGGCACTCTTCGCACTGTAACTCATTATTGTAATTACATTATCTCAATGTGATCTTGCAAGGAAATAAACATTTACTTTTGTAAATGTAAAAAGAGAGCAAATGAAGGAGTGGGTGAGATGTTAACAAATTTTGTAGAAAATAAGAAAAAGTTTTCTAGGTAGTAGGTTGGAAGACAGCAACCGCCCAGGGAGGTACTACCGTCCTGCCAAGTGAGTGTAAAACGAAAGCCTGTAATTGTTTTACGTGATGGTAGGATTGTCTTTTTTTCTGTCTCATAAACATGCAAGATTTCAGGTACGTCTTGCTACTTCTACTTACACTTAGGTCACACTACACATACATGTACGAGCATATATATACACACCCCTCTGGGTTTTCTATTTTCTTTCTAGTTCTTGTTCTTGTTTATTTCCTCTTATCTCCATGGGGAAGTGGAACAGAACTCTTCCTCCATAAGCCATGCATGTTGTAAGAGGAGACTAAAATGCCGGGAGCAAGGGGCTAGTAACCCCTTCTCCCGTATAAATTACTAAATTTAAAAGAGAAACTTTCGTTTTTCTCTTTGGGCCACCCTGCCTTGGTGGGATATGGCCGGTGTGTTGAAAGAAAGTATGACAGGGTGGATAGGTGGGCAATGTGGCAGATGTTGCAGGTGTATGGTATAGGAGGTAAGTTACTGACAGCAGTGAAGTTTTTTTTTGAGGATAGTGAGGCTCAAGTTAGAGTATGTAGGAAAGAGGGAGATTATTTCCCAGTAAAAGTAGGCCTTAGACAAGCATGTGTGATGTCACCGTGGTTGTTCAATATATTTATAGATGGGGTGGTAAGAGAAGTAAATGTGAGGGTCTTGGCAAGAGGATTGGAGTTAAAAGATAAAGAATCACACACAAAGTGGGAGTTGTCACAGTTGCTAGTATGGAGGAGGTGAATATATTCAGATATTTGGGAGTGGACGTGTCAGCGGATGGGTCTATGAAAGATGAGGTAAATCATAGAATTGATGAGGGGAAAAGGGTGAGCAGTGCACTTAGGAGTCTGTGGAGACAAAGAACTTTGTCCTTGGAAGCAAAGAGGGGAATGTATGAGAGTACAGTTTTACCAACGCTCTTATATGGGTGTGAAGCATGGGTGATGAATGTTGCAGCGAGGAGAAGGCTGGAGGCAGTGGAGATGTCATGTCTGAGGGCAATGTGTGGTGTGAATATAATGCAGAGAATTCGTAGTTTGCAAGTTAGGAGGAGGTGCGGGATTGCCAAAACTGTTGTCCAGAGGGCTAAGGAAGGGTTCGGACATGTAGAGAGAATGGAACGAAACAGAATTACTTCAAGAGTATATCAATCTGTAGTGGAGGGAAGGCAGGGTAGGGGTCGGCCTAGGAAAGGTTGGAGAGATGGGGTAAAGGAGGTTTTGTGTGCAAGGGGCTTGGACTTCCAGCAAGCATGTGTGAGCGTATTTCATAAGAGTGAATGGAGACAAATGATTTTTAATACTTGACGTGCTGTTGGAGTGTGAGCAAAGTAACATTTATGAAGGCATTCAGGGAAACTGGCAGGCCGGACTTGAGTCCTGGAGATGGGAAGTACAGTGCCTGCACTCTGAAGGAGGGTTGTTAATGTTGCAATTTTATAACTGTAGTGTAAAGCACGCCTCTGGCAAGACAGTGATGGAGTGAATGATGGTGAAAGTTGTTCTTTTTCGGGCCACCCTACCTTGGTGGGAATCGGCCAGTGTGTTAATAAAAAAAAATTGTACAAGTCCCTCTGAAGTCAGAGTGCCGGCACTGTACTCTCCACCTCCAGGACTCAAGGCCAGCTAACCAGACAAAGTTACAAATAAAGGAGATATACAAGTCCCTTTGTATCTAACTCGGGTAATTTATTAACTGAAACTTAATACACAAAGAATAAAAAGTAACTATACCATAGCTGGAAAAATACACCAAAAACCCACAATTAGGAGAGGAACTTAGTGATGTTTCAGCCCATCCTGAACCACCGTTAAGTTGAGGAGGAATTTACTATCAACAAGTTACCTCCATGGAAAAATAAATGCAAATGTTGAATAGTGCGATCCTTTATTGACAGCATTTTGCCCACACAGTGGTCTTTATCAAGTCACAAACAGATCTGTTTGTTACTTGATAAAGCCCATTATGTGGGTGAAACGTAGTCAATAAAGGATCGCATTATATTGCATCTGTGTTAATTTTTCCATCATGTTGCCATTTTGTACCATTTATCTCCAAATTTACCGCCATCAGGAAAGGGGGTCCTGGGTTTACTTCTAGGTAGCAAAGGAAGGAGTGTCTTACCCATGGCCATATATTGTATGTGACTAATACGAATGAAGAATTTGGCCAAACTGAGCAGTGGAAATGGCTTAAAATAGGACTCGAAGGTGGGCAAAACCGTTAATGCATAAACTGCGCCCACGCCACTAAATTTGCGTACGCGTAACAATAAGTTTCCATCAAATTTCATATTTCTGGTAACATTTCCTTGAAAAAAAAAAAAAAGATTCTCTACCATTTCAGAAGAAAAAAATAATTTAAACTGAAAACACTGTGAGCACTTTCAATAATGGGGTATCTGATAGTGAAGGGGCTAAAACAAACCCTGTGATACACTTACCCCAGAGTGACATAAAGGCTGTGAAGAAGATGGTAGAAGGATTGTCCACCAGGTACGTAAATCTAGCGTGGAAACAAGTCTCCTTGAGGTTCCAGTAGTCACAGAAGTGGTCACACAGCGGACATATGGTGATGTTCAGGTAATTGTTGCAGATGTCATTACTGAAAGTTACAAAAATTACTTCTCTGCATCATGTACTCAACATAATAATAATAATAATAATAATAATAATAATAATAATAATAATAATAATTTCAACGAACTGGTTGTATCCCACCAAGTCAGGGTGACCTAAAAAGAAAAACAAAAGCTTTTCTTTTTAAATTTAGTAATGTATATAGGAGAAGGTGTTACCAGGTAACACTATTCTCCAACGGAGAATAGTCACAATAACAACAATAATAATAATAATAATACTAATAATAATATATAGGTAGTAGGTTGGTAGACAGCAACCGCCCAGGGAGGTACTACCGTCCTGCCAAATGAGTGTAAAATGAAAGCCTGTAATTGTTTTACAAGATGGTAGGATTGCTGGTGTCCTTTTTTCTGTCTCATAAACATGCAAGGTTTCAGGTACGTCTTGCTACTTCTACTTACACTTAGGTCACACTACACATACATGTACGAGCATATAAATACACACACCTCTGGGTTTTCTTCTATTTTCCTTCTAGTTCTTGTTTATTTCCTCTTACCTCCATGGGGAAGTGGAACAGAATTCTTCCTCCGTAAGCCATGTGTGTTGTAAGAGGCGACTAAAATGCCAGGAGCAAGGGGCTAGTAACCCCTTCTCCTGTATATATTACTAAATGTAAAAGGAGAAACTTTCGTTTTTCCTTTTGGGCCGCCCTGCCTCGGTGGGATACGGCCGATGTGTTGAAAGAAAGAAGAAAGAATAATAGTAATAAAAGCAATAATAATGATAAAAATATGCAACAGACGTGAAATTAGATATTAACCTCTGACTGTTTCGGTCGTATATATACGTCTTACGAGCCAATATGTTTGACGTATATATACTCAAAAATTCTAGCGGCTTCAAATCAAGTGGGAGAAAGCTGGTAGGCCCACATGTGAGAAAATGGATCTGTGTGGTCAGTGTGTGCAGTATAAAAAAAAATCCTGCAGCACACAGTGCATAATGAGAAAAAAAAACTCCGACCGTGTTTTTGGATTAAAACGCCGACTTTGAGGTGCATTTTCGTATAGTTTTTATGGTTATATTCTCGTTTTCGTAGTCACATTTGATAGAATGGGAAACATTATAGAAATGGAGGTGATTTTGATTGGTTTTACTATAAAAAGGACCTTGAAATGGAGCTCGAAGTAGGGGAAATGTTTGATTTTTGCTGATGTTCAAGAGTAAACAAATGATGTCACTGTCCAATAAATGTCCAACTAGACACTAATATGCTGTCATGAATGGGTTCACATTATTTATACAATTATTACAATATTGCAGTAGTCTGCATAACAGTAAATCTTCTATTTTTTGTGCGAATAAAAATTCAAAATAGAAAGCAAGAGTAATATCAGAGGGGCCTGGAGACGTGACTGATGAACAAAGAAAATGTTATTTTAGAGCCAGGAATGTCTGCATTGTTCTTTCTGGACCCTATTTTGAAATTGACACATTTTTTAATTTGCATGAAATTAGCCAAATTGCCAATTTCTGACCACTTTATTGGGTAGTTGAAATCGGTAAATGGGCAGTTTCTTGTACTCGATTGATAGAGCAAATGGAGTTCTAGACAAACAACTATGAGTTTTATCGACTGGAACAAGGGAATTAGCCAACAATAGGGCTCAAAGTGGGCGAAATCGCCGATTTGTAAATATCGCCGAGGCTGGTAACTTCGCGAGAGTGTAATTCTGTAAGTTTTCAATCAAATTTTGTACTTTTGGTGTCATTACCATCGGGAAAATATTCTCTATCATTTCATAAGAAAAATTTTTTTTTTTTTTTTTCAAATATTTTGCGACACTGGGAGACGCCTCAGGATTTGGGGTTGCAACAGTTAAAGGGTTAATTTTACGCATTATGGAAAGTTCCTGGTTAATAACATCAGGTATAGTAAACCCTTGATATAATGGACTACTGAGAGTAGTGTCCAAGTGTTTGTTAAATTAGAATCTTAAATATAACAAAAGGTACCAAAGCATTTTATTGTACACCTCTAAGACCTGTCTGTACTATACTGTGGAGCTTTATAAGACCTGTCTGTACTATACTGTGGAGCTTTATAAGACCTGTCTGTACTATACTGTGGAGCTTTATAAGACCTGTCTGTACTATACTGTGGAGCTTTATAAGACCTGACTGTACTATACTGTGGAGCTTTATAAGACCTGTCTGTACTATACTGTGGAGCTTTATAAGATCTGTCTGTACTATACTGTGGAGCTTTATAAGACCTGTCTGTACTATACTGTGGAGCTTTATAAGACCTGTCTGTACTATACTGTGGAGCTTTATAAGACCTGTCTGTACTATACTGTGGAGCTTTATAAGACCTGTCTGTACTATACTGTGGAGCTTTATAAGACCTGTCTGTACTATACTGTGGAGCTTTATAAGACCTGTCTGTACTATACTGTGGAGCTTTATAAGACCTCTCTGTACTATACTGTGGAGCTTTATAAGACCTGTCTGTACTATACTGTGGAGCTTTATAAGACCTGTCTGTACTATACTGTGGAGCTTTATAAGACCTGTCTGTACTATACTGTGGAGCTTTATAAGACCTGTCTGTACTATACTGTGGAGCTTTATAAGACCTGTCTGTACTATACTGTGGAGCTTTATAAGACCTGTCTGTACTATACTGTGGAGCTTTATAAGACCTGTCTGTACTATACTGTGGAGCTTTATAAGACCTGTCTGTACTATACTGTGGAGCTTTTTAAGACCTGACTGTACTATACTGTGGAGCTTTATAAGACCTGTCTGTACTATACTGTGGAGCTTTATAAGATCTGTCTGTACTATACTGTGGAGCTTTATAAGACCTGTCTGTACTATACTGTGGAGCTTTATAAGACCTGTCTGTACTATACTGTGGAGCTTTATAAGACCTGTCTGTACTATACTGTGGAGCTTTATAAGACCTGTCTGTACTATACAGAAGCGTTTATTAGTAGTGGGTTCACCGGTGTTGTACCGGCCCAAGTTTTTTCCAAATGGTGACCCGGCAAGCTTTATAAGAGCTTATAATTTGAGTGCACTGTACAAAAAAAGACTGGTTATAAATGACCATAATTTTTAAAGGGGTGGACCGGTAAGCCAGCGGAAGGCCTCGGTCAGATGACCAAAAGCTCCAAAGGCGGGTCATCATCTGACTAAGACCCGCGTCAGGAAACATTTGTCCTGTTTCCTGACGAACCTTACCTAACCTGCACTGTACAGAAGAGTTCTACAAGAAAGGCGAGTACATAAACGTTGTACCTGGGTGGATGGTCATTAACAGTGGAGACAGCATACAAGAAGCACAGGAGGCCAACAATGGATGCCGGTATCAACATGTAAGTGTAGAAACCCAGCCAGGCAAAGTAGAGACCAATCTTGACCCCAAAGTAGTCCTTGACGTAGTCCAGGGGTTGGTACTTGTAGAAGTTCCTCACGGCTGCCCAGTGCTTGAACAACATGGCGCGTTCGTTGTCACCATCATGTAGATCACCCTGAAATATGGATAGGATGTTTAATACTTCATGAAATAGTAAAGACACAATTGCAAACAAACCATACCATGGGCGGGGCTTGAACTTGCAGCTAGAGAGTTGTAAAACTCCAGACTGACACATTAGAAACCTAGTTGGATGAATCTTATTGTAGCCAGCTGGCCCAGTGCCTAACGCATCGGTCTGGAGTTTTACGACTCTCTAACCACGGGTTCAAACCCTGCCTGTGGTACTGTATGTTTATTTAGGGTAGGGGCGGGGAACTTTTTTCTGCCAAGGGCCATTTAGATATTTATAACATTATTTGCGGGCTATACAAAACTGTCAACTTAAAAATTAACCTGCTATATTTCATCAAACATTTAATTAAATCCTGCAGTTGCCTTGGCAGGGCCAGACCAAATGATTTCATAGGTCTTATATGGCCTGCGGGCCAGATGTTCCCCACCCCTGATTTAAGGTCTCCATGGGCAAGTGGAAAAGAATTCTTCCTCCATATGCACATTCAGCTCACACATTAAAGCCCGAGGTTTGATCCCCGGTACAGGTGGAAACACTGGGTGTGTTTCCTTAAGGCACCTACTGTCCATGTTCACCTAGCAGTAAAATAGGTACCTGGGTGTTAGTCAACTGGTGTGGGTTACATCCTTTGGGCAAAATTAACCTAATTTTCCCAAAATGCTCTAGGCTGGAATATTGCTGCACACTAACAGCTCCTTTCAAGGCAGGTGAAATTGCCGACCTAGAAAATGTACAGAGAACTTTCACGGCGCGCATAACGGAGATAAAACACCTCAATTATTGGGAGCGCTTGAGGTTCCTAAACCTGTATTCCCTGGAACGCAGGAGGGAGAGATACATGATTATATACACCTGGAAAATCCTAGAGGGACTAGTACCGAACTTGCACACGAGAATCACTCACTACGAAAGCAAAAGACTTGGCAGACGATGCACCATCCCCCCAATGAAAAGCAGGGGTGTCACTAGCACGTTAAGAGACCATACAATAAGTGTCAGGGGCCCGAGACTGTTCAACTGCCTCCCAGCATACATAAGGGGGATTACCAACAGACCCCTGGCAGTCTTCAAGCTGGCACTGGACAAGCACCTAAAGTCAGTTCCGGATCAGCCGGGCTGTGGCTCGTACGTTGGTTTGCGTGCAGCCAGCAGCAACAGCCTAGTTGATCAGGCTCTGATCCACCAGTAGGCCTGGTCACAGACCGGGCCGCGGGGGCGTTGACCCCCGGAACTCTCTCCAGATTCATAACAAGGGGTTTTATGTATAGTATGTCATTGCTGTCAGCTAGGCCTGTATTTGCTGTATACATACTTGTACAAATAAAGATTATTAAAATTATTATTCTTTCTTTCAACACACCGGCCGTATCCCACCAAGGCAGGGCGGCCCAAACAGAAAAACGAAAGTTTCTCTTAAATTTAGTAATATATACAGGAGAAGGGGTTACTAGCCCCTTTCTCCCGGCATTTTAGTCACCTCTTACAACACGCATGGCTTACTGAGGAAGAATTCTGTTCCACTTCCCCATGGAGATGATGATGATGATGATCATCATCATCATCATCCATCATCAATCATCATCAATCATCATCAATCATCATCAATCATCATCAATCATCATCAATCATCATCATCGTGTCGTAAGACAGCTAAAATGCCAAAAGAAAGATGCTAGTAACAAATCTCAAACAAATTACTAAATTTAAAAAGAAAAACTTTCGTTTTTGTATTTAGGTCACTCTGCCTCGGTAAGATACTGTCAGTATGTTGGAAAAAAAGTGTGTTTAGGCTTCTGCTTCTATCAACTTTTCTGTACTCGACTGAAGAAGCCTACTGTGTAGGCGAAACGTTTCAAAATAAAGATACCTAGCTGTTGCATGTGTGTCTTACCTAACAACCTGTCGGTATTTTATACCATTTTAATGTTCAGGCACTGGGACACACAAATACAGTTTTCATACTTGTAACATACACAATACATGTAACATACGCAATACATGTAACATACGTAATACATGTAACATACGTAATACATGTAACATACGCAATACATGTAACATACGCAATAATGTATTTGCAAACAAGTGACACCAGATGCAAAACAACCACAAAGGGAGTTGAGTGATAGCTCTAGGCCTTTAGTGTTGCAAGCAACACATCTTCAAGAGCTTGTAATTTTGCAGAAATGAGTAGGAACTCCAGGAAGATCCGTTCAAGGGAACGATCCTAGTTTAGACCACTGACACAACACTGGACCACTGACACAAGTGACACACAACAATGGACCACATAATACTGGGCCACTGACACACACAACACTGGACCAATAACACACACAACACTGGACCACTGACACACACACACAAAACTGGACCACTGACACACACCACACTGGACCACTCACCTCGTGTATGGGGTACGCAGCAGAGTAAGTACTCTCATTCAACAGCTTCTCGATGCCGAAGGCAAAGTCATCATCGTCCGTGTCTTTAAATTTCTTCCTCCTCAAGATGAAGTCCACAATGCGTGCACGAATTGCCGGCGTGAAAAACTCTTCAGTCATATTAAACCTACGAAGATGAAAAATAATTTTTAACACACTGGCTGACCCCCACTGAGGTAGGCGAGAAGTATTGTTAAGTCGACAACTTATGAACACATTGGGGACCTCCTGAACCCGGTGGCCTGGTGGCTACAGCTCCCGCTTCACACACGGAGGGTCGGGTTCAATTCCCGGTGGGTGGAAACATTTCGACACATTTCCTTACACCTGTTGTCCTGTTCACCTAGCAGCAAATAGGTACCTGGGAGTTAGTGGACTGGTGTGGGAGGCATCCTGGGTGTTAGTGAACTGGTGTGGGTCGCATCTTGGGTGTTAGTGAACTGGTGTGGGTCACATCCTGGGTGTTAGTGGACTGGTGTGGGTCACATCCTGGGTGTTAGTGGACTGGTGTGGGTCACATCCTGGGTGTTAGTGGACTGGTGTGGGTCACATCCTGGGGGACAAGATAGAGGACCCCAATGGAAATAAGTTAGACAGTCCTCGATGATGCACTGAATTTCTTGGGTTATCCTGGCTGGCTAACCCTCCGGGGTTAAAAATCCGAACGAAATCTTATCTTATAATACACTCTCTCCTCACTTGGGTGATGTATCGTTTACTGACGGCACAGACTTACAACCAGTGTGCAAACCTAAGTAATGTGTATTAGAGCATATTACACCATACACCTGCAATATCTGCCACATTGCCCTCCTATCCACCCTGTCATACGCCTTTTCCAAATCCATAAATGCCACAAAAACCTCTTTAGCCTTATCTAAATACTGTTCACTTATATGTTTCACTGTAAACACCTGGTCCACACACACCCTACCTTTCCTAAAGCCTCCTTGTTCATCTGCTATCCTATTCTCCGTCTTACTTTTAATTCTTTCAATAATAACTCTACCATACACTTTACCAGGTATACTCAACAGACTTATCCCCATATAATTTTTGCACTCTTTTGTCCCCTTTGCCTTTATACAAAGGAACTATGCATACTCTCTGCCAATCCCTAGGTACCTTACCCTCTCCCATACATTTTTTAAATAATAGCACCAACCACTCCAAAACTATATCCCACCTGCTTTTAACATTTCTATCTTTACCCAATTAATCCCAGCTGCCTTACCCCCTTTCATTTTACCTACTGCCTCACGAACTTCCCCACACTCACAACTGGCTCTTCCATGTACTTAAAAATATATGGTGGAACCTCGGTATGCGACCTTAATTCGTTCCAGACGGCTGTACGAGTGCCGCTCTGAGTATCAAACAAGTCGTTCCCAACCAATTTTCTACTTGTTTGGTGTTATCACCAATCTTCGTAGGCCCATGGTGACTTATTTATACAAATACATAATACAAAAAAAACCCAAAAAAATGAAGAAACACAAAATAGTTTACAGCGAAGTTCTGGCAGGTTGCATTAGGTCGAGTGCTAAGCTTTGTTCGAGTAGGAAGCTGGTCGTATACCGAGGTTCCACTGTACTAGAAATGTTATAAATTGTGTAAAGGCGACATTTAAAATATCTAAGATGGTTGACACAAGCCCACGTCATTATTATAATCAAGGGGGAATGCTAAACTTGTAGGATTAATTCATTGAACTGGAGCACAGATACAATTCTCTACATCCAAAGCCCTCACCAACGTCGAGGAACCTTCCTTGAGGGGGCTACCAGTACAGTACGTTCCTCGCTTAACGACTAATTCGCTCCCCCGACCTATTCTTCGGAACGTAACTCCATCATTAAGTGAGGAGTGCCTGTACAGCATTTTAAGAAGTCACATTAAAGTTAATCTAATCACTCTGAGTCCAGACAATACACAATTCAAACTGAATCTGAAGGAAGAATGGGAGAAAAATGAATATATTTAGAAAGTGAATATATTTAGAAAGTGAATATATTTAGAAAGTGAATATATTTAGAAAGTGAATATATTTAGAAAGTGAATATATTTAGAAAGTGAATATATTTAGAAAGTGAAATATTTAGAAAGTGAATATATTTAGAAAGTGAATATATTTAGAAAGTGAATATATTTAGAAAGTGAATATATTTAGAAAGTGAATATATTTAGAAAGTGAATATATTTAGAAAGTGAATATATTTAGAAAGTGAATATATTTAGAAAGTGAATATATTTAGAAAGTGAATATATTTAGATATTTGGGAAGAAATGGGATGGCAGATGAGGTTAATCACAGAAAATACAAGGACAAAAAAATAGGTGAAGTACTGAAGTGTCCTTGGAAAGAAAAAAAAATTGACTCACGAAAGTGCAATAACACTACTGTAAACAAATCGAGGAACGGGTGGGTTTGTAGCACTTGCTGTGATACAACTTACAGGCCAGTGTATTAATAATTGAACCTGCTGGCTCTAATATCATTCATCCAACTAGGTATATTTCTATACACCACAGACAGGTTAGTATGATTTTTGTGGGTTATTATTAACACGAAGTGTTAAACCCACAAGAGTTTGTAACTCAAAAGATAAAAGGGATTGTAAGGAACAGAGTAGAGTTAGCAGGAGGAGGTTACAAGTGGTATTAGCCTAAGTATTAGCCTGAGTTTAAGAGTCTTACTACTCTCAGAGCCCAGCCATGGGCTGATCTGGTGCTAGCCTGGTCAACCAGGCTGTTGCTACTGGTGGCCAGCTGCCCCACATATCCATGACTGATCTGGCATCTGGTGAGGATACTTGTCCAAGAAGATTTCTACACTTGTTCCATGAGAGTCATTTATATTGCATGTTACATTTAGGATTCACGCCGCTGCTGCAACGTGATTACGGCAACATTTATGTATAGAATCAGAGTAACTGCTTAGCTTGAACTGCACTGTGATGATGGGCAGTACAATGTCTGCACTCTGAACAACGGGTGGGGACAAATCACTCAACTGGTGGGGTATCAACCCCATGACAAGTCATCCTTAAAACTCACAGGCCAGTGTGTTAACTTGGCCACCTGGTCCAGTTTGGGTTTAAAACACAGGTCAGTGTGTTAACTTGGCCAGCTGGTCAAGTGGTTAACATACAGGTCAGTGCATTAACAACTTGGCCATCTGGTCCAATGGTTAACACACAGGTCAGTGCATTAACAACTTGGCCACCTGGTCCAATGGTTAACACACAGGTCAGTGCATTAACAACTTGGCCACCTGGTCCAATGGTTAACAGACAGGTCAGTGCATTAACAACTTGGCCACCTGGTCCAATGGTTAACAGACAGGTCAGTGCATTAACAACTTGGCCACCTGGTCCAATGGTTAACACACAGGTCAGTGCATTAACAACTTGGCCACCTGGTCCAATGGTTAACAGACAGGGCAGTATATTAACAACTTGGCCACCTGATCCAATGGTTAACACACAGGTCAGTGCATTAACAACTTGGCCACCTGGTCCAATGGTTAACAGACAGGTCAGTACATTAACAACTTGGCCACCTGGTCCAATGGTTAACAGACAGGTCAGTACATTAACAACTTTGCCACCTGGTCCAATGGTTAACAGACAGGTCAGTACATTAACAACTTTGCCACCTGGTCCAATGGTTAACAGACAGGTCAGTACATTAACAACTTGGCCACCTGGTCCAATGGTTAACAGACAGGTCAGTACATTAACAACTTGGCCACCTGGTCCAATGGTTAACAGACAGGTCAGTACATTAACAACTTGGCCACCTGGTCCAATGGTTAACAGACAGGTCAGTACATTAACAACTTGGCCACCTGGTCCAATGGTTAACAGACAGGTCAGTACATTAACAACTTTGCCACCTGGTCCAATGGTTAACAGACAGGTCACTGCATTAACAACTTGGCCACCTGGTCCAATGGTTAACAGACAGGTCAGTACATTAACAACTTTGCCACCTGGTCCAATGGTTAACAGACAGGTCACTGCATTAACAACTTTGCCACCTGATCCACTCATTAACACACTAACCTGTGAGTTTTAACAATCACCATGGGTTCAAATACCACCCATTCAATGATTTGTTTGCAATCATATTACTGTGATTTCATGAGTAATGGGCGAGGATGTTGAAGCTACGATCATTTCACCAGTGATGTTCCAACACTTCTGGGAATATTAGAGAACAAGTGATGGTAGTGTGTTTCCTTACACTTTAAGTACATTAACCCTTTCACTGTTGGTGCTGTAATATTACGGCTTGCAAGCTAGTGTTGCTGCTGTAATATTTCGCCAAAATTCTAGCGGCTTCCAGTCTTGCGGGAGAAAGTTGGTAGGCCTACATATGAGAGAATAGATCTGAGTGGTCAGCGTGCACAGTATAAAAAAAATCCTGCAGCTCACAGTGCATAATGAGGAAAAAAAAAACTCTGGCCATGTTTTTGGTTTAACCCTTTGACTGTTTTCGACGTATAAATACGTCTTACGAGCCAATGTTTCTGACGTATATATACTCAATAATTCTAGCGGCTTCAAATCAAGTGGGAGAAAGCTGGTAGGCCCACATGTGAGAGAATGGGTCTGTGTGGTCAGTGTGCACCACATAAAAAAAATCCTGCAGCACACATTGCGTAATGAGAAAAAAAAAACTCTGATCGTTTTTTTGGAATAAAACGCCGACTTTGAGGTGTATTTTCGTATAGTATTTATCGTTGTATTCGCGTTTTCATGGTCTTAGGTGATAAAATGGAAAACATATTACAGAAATAGAGATGATTTTCATTACTTTTACGATGAAAACGACCTTGAAACCGAGCTCAAAGTAGCGGAAATGTTCGATTTTTACCAATGTTCAGGAGTAAACAAATCACACCACATGTCCAATACACGTCAACTGGGGAGTCTAATATTCTTTCACTAGTGCACTGATATTATTTATACCATTTTTACAATAATGCAGTCGTCTGCATAACAGTAAATTTTGTATTTTTTTTGTATGAATAAAAAATCAAAATAGAAAGCAATAATAATATAAGAGGGGCCTAGAGATGTGAGTAATGAACAGAGGATATGTTATTTTAGTGCCACGAATGTCTGCCTTGTTTATTCTGGACCCTATTTTGAAATTGGCATCTTTTTTATTTTGCGTGAAATTGGCCAAATTGCCAATTTCTGACCACCATATTGGGTAGTCCAAATTAGTAAATGGGAGGTTTCTTGTACTCAGCTGATAGACAAAATGGAGTTCTAAAGAAATAGCTATGAGTTTGGTCAACTGGAACAATGGAATTGGCTGAAAATTGGGCTCAAAGTCGGCGAAATCGCCGATACGCATATGTCGCCGAGACCGCTAACTTCGCGGGAGCATAATTCCACGAGTTTTTGACCAAATTTCGAACTTTTGGTGTCATTACCATCGGGAAAAGATTCTCTATCATTTCATAAGAAAAAATAATTTTTTTTTTTTTCAAAAATTGAGCGACATAGAATGACAGTTTCAGAGAGGGGCCTGAAACAGTCAAAGGGTTAAAACACCAATTTTGTGGTATACAGTGGACCCCCGCATAACAATTACCTCCGAATGCGACCAATTATGTAAGTGTATTTATGTAAGTGCGTTTGTACGTGTATGTTTGGGGGTCTGAAATGGACTAATCTAATTCACAATATTCCTTATGGGAACAAATTCGGTCAGTACTGGCACCTGAACATACTTCTGGAGTGAAAAAATATCGTTAACCGGGAGTCCACTGTATTTTCATATTGTATTCATGGCTGTATTCTCATTTTCTTGGTCTCATTTGATAGAAGATATATTACAGAAATAGAGATGAATTTGGATGGTTTTCAGACTAAAAGTACAGGAGGGCCCCGCTTTACGGCGTTCCGCTTTACGGCGTTCCGCTAATACGGACATTTCAAATTATGACCAAAACTCACTATACGGCTCCCCCCACCTGACTTTCTAATACGGTCACCGTGCCCCACCCTGTTTGTTTACATTCTCCATGAGCTCAGTAAGCACTAAGTCTCTCCATTTTGTCAGGAAACTCCAAAATTTCAAATGTTTTTAAAAGTTATTTCATATTTTATATATACTCTGATAATTATACTTATGTATACCTGTACCTAAATAAACTTACATACATCAAGTCATTTAAATGTCGTATATTACGTTAATATACACATTTTCATTAATCCATCCATGATATTTTTTTCAAAATTATATAATAAACACGATGCATAACATATAAATAAGATAAATACACCCCACAGTAGAATAAATAAACATAAATTTTGAGCTGTGTAGCAGACGACTTCCACAAGTGGTGATAATAACAATAGTCACCGAGTCTCATTAAATGTCGTATATTACGGTAATATACACATTTTCATTAATCCAGCCATGATATTTTTTTCAAAATTATATAATAAACACGATACATAACATAAAAAGATGATAAATACACCCCACAATAGAATAAATAAACATAAATATAAGATGTGGGAGCCTGGTTTGTTTACATAACTCTGCTTCTGTTACCTCTCATGTACTCATTCTTTCTCTCTCTCATTTATTCGTTTTATCTCATTTACTTACTCCTGACCCTACATTAAGACTACAAATATTTTAAGGTAAGTAATGAGTGAACTGTATATACATTTTATCGCTCTGGGATGCTTAAATATCATAGAATAGTATGTGTGGGTGGGGTGGCCTGGTGAGGCTATTACAATACATACCACACTTGATTTCTTACAATAAATACTACTTGTCTCACCCTAGATTAAGACTAAATATTTTAAGGTAAGTAATGAGTGCACTATGTGTGTATTGTACCTTTTTATTGTTTTTTGATGCCTGGTTCTATTGCTAACTTAATATATGTTAGTGTAAACTTGTTATCTAGTGTTTGTATGCATTTATAAGTGGAAAAAAAGGGTGTTCCACTTTACGGCGATTTCCGCTTTACGGCGGTAGCCTGGAACCTAACCTGCCGTATAAGTGGGGCCCTCCTGTACCTTGAAATTGAGCTCAAAGTAGTGGAAATGTTCGATTTTTGTCGATGTTCAAGAGTAAACAAATCATACCACGCGTCCAATACATGTCATCTGGTGGGTCTAATATGCTTTCACAAATGCACTGATATCATTTATACCATTTTTACAATAATGCAGTAGTCTGCATAACAGTAAATCTTCTATTTTTTGTGCGAATAAAAATTCAAAATGGAATACAAACGTAACATAAGAGGGACCTGGAGACGTGACTAATGAACAGAGAAAATGTTATTTTAGTGCTAGGAATGTCTGCATTGTTTATTCTGGACCCTATTTTGAAATTGGCTTTACCTGAATTGTGTATGAAATTGGACAAATTACCAATTTCTGATTACTTTATTGAAAAGTTGAAGTCAGTAAATGGGCAGTTTCTTGTACTCAATTGATAGAACAAAATGAGTTCTAGTGAAATAGCTATGAGTTTGGTCGACTGGAACAATGGAATTGGCCGAAAATAGGGTTCAAATTGGGCAAAATTGGCAATGTGTAAATATCGCCAAGATTGCTAACTTCATGAAAGTGTAATTCCTTAAGTTTTCCATCAAATTTTGTACTTTTGGTGTCATTACCATCGAGTAAAAGTTCTCTATCATTTCATAAGAAAAATTTTTTTTTTTTTTTTTTTTGAAAATTCAATACTGAGAGCAAGTTTGTGAGCATGGGTCTCGACAGTGAAATAGTTAATGGAAATGATGTCCACTGAAGCTAAGAAACAAAAATGCATGGAAGGGCACACTAGTTTGCGACTTTTAAAAAGTGCATGTTTAGGATACACAATGTTCGATTATACAGAACTCTCAACCAGGCTGTGATGGATATGTGAAGCAGTGGGCCACCAGCAGCAACAGCCTGGTAGACCAGGGTAGCACTAGACCAGCCTGGCCCATGGCAGAGCTCTAAGAATAGAAGAACTCTCAAAACTCATCAGAGGTAAGGTATACCAAAGGTAAGGTCATTCAGAGGTAAGATACATCAAGGATACTCACAAGTAGTCCCGGTCTCTGGAATACACAGCAGTAAAATGCCGGTTCTTGGGGGGAAAGATATCCTTGGCCAGTGTGACGAAGTTAAACATTCGACTGACACAGTCCGTCATCTCCTGGAAGACTGCTGGCGGTGTGAACTCTAGCGCAGGTAACCCCGGAAACTGCATGCAAACACATACTTATTATACACTATGTATGTACAGTAAGCTCTCTTACGAAGCTCCTGTATCACACTGCGGATATTATAATCGTGGGGAGCACTAAACCCACAGGATTATACAGCTATACGCTGGGGATTTTTATAAATGCAATTAAAAAGAGAGCATCCAAAATAGAACAGTACGTATAAAGAAATTCATAAAATCTATTCAATTTTGGACGCAATCTTTCAATTGAAAAAATTGCACTGTATACCATAGCTTCGTAAAAGTGCTTACTGTACATATATACAGAATATACAGTTATATTTAATGACTACTGTCCTATGTAACATAAAACTTTATGTATAATATTTCAGTATTACAAGAGCTACAGAATTCTTTGAGTAAAAAACTATACATTAAAATTAACGATAACTTTCTAAAGAAAATTTGTATCACTACTGTATTATAAAATTAACATGTTTTCTAGTTGTTTATTTTGGGCTAAATCAAAATTGATGGTTTTTGCACTTCATGTGCCGTTTGTGCAGAAAGTTGTGGCTTTGGTACACAGAGTGAAAGTGAGGGTAGTGCAGGTTAGGTGAGGTACGATTATGTAAGGTTAGGTAGGGTAAGAACATTAGAAAGAAGGAACACTACAACAGGCCTACTGGCCTATGCGAGGCAGGTCCAATTCTCCCACCAGCTTAAGCTCACTGACCGTCTGACCTCACTGACCTAGTGAGGTCAGACATGTCACTTAACCCTTTGACTGTCGCGGCCGTATATATACGTCTTACGAGGTACCGTATTTGGCGTATATATACAGTGGAACCTCAAAAATCGAACTGCTCCCAACTTAACCAATTATGTAAGTGTATTTTTGTAAGTGCTTTTATAAGTGTATTTTTGAGGGTCTTAAATGGTCTAATCTAATTTACATTATTCCTGATGGGAATAAATTCGTTCAGTAGTGGCACTCGAACAGCCTTCTAGACCGAAGAAAGTTCGATATTTGAGGTTCCACTGTACTCATAAATTCTAGCAGCTTCAAATCAAGCAGGAGAAAGCTGGTAGGCCCACATGTGAGAGAATGGGTCTGTATGGTCAGTGTGCACCATATAAAAAAAAGTCCAGGAGCACGCAGTGCATAATGAGAAAAAAAAAAACACCAATCGTTTTTTTTAATTAAAATGTCAACTTTGTGGTCTATTTCTGTATTGTATTAATGGTTGTAGTCTCGTTTTCTTGGTCTCATTTGATAGAATGGAAAACATATTATAGAAATAGAGGTGATTTTGATTGATTTTACTATAAAAAGAACCTGGAAATGGAGCTCAAAGTAGGGGAAATGTTTGATTTTTACCGATGTTCAAAAGTAAACAAATGATGTCATTGTCCAATAAATGTCCAACTAGCCATTCTAATATGCAGTCATGAATGGGTTGATGTTATTTATACAATTATTACAGTATTGCAGTAGTCTGCATAACAGTAAATCTTCTATTTTTTGTTTAAATAAAAATTCAAAATAGAAAGCAAGAGTAATATCAGAGGGGCCTGGAGACATGACTGATGAACAAAGAAAATGTTATTTTAGAGCCGGGAATGTCTGCATTGTTCATTCTGGACCTTATTTTGAAATTATCATATTTTTTAATTTTCGTGAAATTGGCCAAATTGCAAATTTCTGACCACGTTATTGGGTAGTTGAAATTGGTAAATGGGCAGTTTCTTGTACTTAATCGATAGAAAAAGCGGAGTTCTAAAGAAATAGCTATGAGTTTGGTCGACTGGAACAATGGAATTAGCCGAAAATAGGGCTCAAAGTGAACAAAATCACCGATTTGTAAATATCGCCGAGGTTGCTAACTTCGCGAGAGCGTAATTCCGTCAGTTTTCCATCAAATTTCGTTTTTTTGGTGTCATTACAATCGGGAAAAGATTCTCTATCATTTCATAAGAAAAAAACAATTTTTTTTTAAATTTTGCGACACCAGGAGACGCCTCAGGATTGGGGGTTGTGACAGTCAAGGGTTTAAGGGAGGAGCACAGCATCTGACCTAGTAGCACAAGCTAGTTAGGTTCAACTCACACCCACTCATATATTTATCCAACCTATTTTGAAAACTACACAACGTCTTAGCTTCTATGACAGTACTGGGGAGTTTGTTGCACTCATCCACAACTCTATTACCAATCCAGTGCTTTCCTATATCCTTCCTGAATCTGAATTTTTCCAATTTCAAACCATTGCTGCGAGTCCTGTCTATATTAGATATTTTTAGCACACTATTTACATCCCTTTTTTAATTCCTGCTTTTCATTTATACACCTCAATCACATCCCCCCTAATTCTACACCTTTCTAGAGTGTAGATTCAGGGCCTCAGTCTATCCTCATAGGGAAGATTTCTGATACATGGGATCAACTTTGTCATCCTCCTCTGTATGTTTTCCAGTGCATTTATATCCATTCTGTAATACTGTGACCAGAACTGAGCAGCATAGTCTAAATGAGGCCTAACCAAGGATGTATAGAGTTGAAGAACAACCTGAGAAATTTTATTAATTATTTATGCTTCTTGATATGAAGCCAAGGATTCTGTTAGCTTTATTGTGAATACTTATGCACTATTGTCCTGGTTTCAGATTACTGCTAACCAGAACCCCTAAATCCTTTTTGCAATCTGTAATACTAATATCTACATTTAGTTTATATGTGGCATGGTTATTTTCCTGTCCAACATTTAGAACTTTGCATTTGTCTATATTAAACTGCATCTGCCACTTCTCCGACCATTGCATCAGTCTATTCAATTCATCCTGGAGTGCTCTAATGTCCTCATTAGAATGAATTGGATGGCCTATTTTGGTGTCATCAGCAAATTTGCATATGTCACTATTTATTCCCTCATCTATGTCGTTTATGTAGATTGTAAACAAGGGGCCCAACACTGACCCCTGTGGAACACCGCTTGTGACATACCCCCATTCTGATTTCTCCCCATTTATGCAAACTCTCTGCTGCCTATTTGTCAACCATGCCTCTACCTAGGAAAAAATTTCTCCTCCTATTCCGTGTGCCTTAAGTTTCCTCAATAGTCTCTGATGTGGACCTCTATCAAAAGCCTTACTGAAGTCCATAAAAACAATACCATATTCATTACCATGATCTACCTCCTTAAATACCTTAGTGTAGAAAGTTAGTAAATTCGTAAGACAGGAACGTCATTTTGTAACTCTGTGCTGAGATTCATTAATCAATTTATGCCTTTCAAGATGGCTACGAATTGCTTCGGCACTTATTGATTCCATAAATTTACCAACTATGGAAGTAAGGCTTATTGGTCTATAGTTCGAAGCTAAGGGCCTGTCACCTGCCTTGTAAATAGATACGTATTACATTTGCCATTTTCCACTTGTCTGTCACCATGCCAGTTTGTAGTGATATATTGAAAAGATTAGCCAAAAGGTATGCTAAGTTCCTCTTTACATTCCTTTAAAACCCTTGCAAATAGTTCATCAGGCCTGAGGATTTGTTAAGTTTTAATTTCTCTATTTAAGGTTAGGTTAGTTAGGTTACGTAAGGTTTATCAGAAAATAGGACAAGTGTTTCCTGACAAGGGTCTTAGTCATATGATGACCCACTGCTGGAGCTTCTAGTCATCTGATCGAGGCCTTCCACTGGCTTACCAGTCTACCCCTTTAAAAATTATGGTCATGATTATAACCATTGGAATACTACTGCAGATTCAAGATTGGACTCTTCAACCTCTAGGTTGAACACTGCACTATCTTCAGTGATACTCAGGTGATGGCATATGTCAAAGACAGCCAGTGATGGACAACAATCTTAGAACAAAACTCACGAAATCGTAACGACACTATTGCCTGTGATTTTTAGGAAATACTTGCCAGGGGTTCAAACTCTACCTGGTTCATTATTTGTTTTCAGAACAAATACTACAAAATACCGACCTCTTCTCAAAGGATTATTAACCCCAGAATTAACCCCAGGAAGTTAATAATCCAGGATAATTATCCCAGATATAAGCATCGCCTCAAATCAAATCATACACCATCATCCGAACCTCGCCGAACACAGTGCAAAGTTCCGCCCAGAGGTCGATGACACCCCACTTGCAACTGTAGGGCCATCACTTGCAACTGCACAGCCATCACTTGCAACTGGTTCACTCGACTCCAAACTTTGACCATCTGTTGCAATGATCAAAAGAGTTGGCATCGCAACTTTCATCGCAGACTGTAACCTATTTAAAACAGACCTTGTAATAGCTATTTGTATTCTAATTACAATGAACAATAACTGTTTATCTACTATTTGTAATTAAAATAGTCAATCATAACCATTGGTAATCTACTTAAAATAGTCAATTACAATAGTATTTGTAATTAACTTTTAATACATCACTTATTATAAATCCAAAAAGGCAATATATCACTAATTTTTTAACTAACAACTACGTCGTACTTTTACACGATTACAGGGAAATATTAAAATGGAAATATTAAAATGGAAATATTAAAATGGAAATATTAAAATGGAAATATTAAAACGGAAATATTAAAACGGAAATATTAAAACGGAAATATTAAAACGGAAATATTAAAACGGAAATATTAAAACGGAAATATTAAAACGGAAATATTAAAACGGAAATATTAAAACGGAATATATTTAAAACGGAAATATTAAAACGGAAATATTAAAACGGAAATATTAAAACGGAAATATTAAAACGGAAATTTCCTGATACCAAAGCACAAGTTTTTCTCTTCACAAAAACAAAACAAAAAAAAAATTCCTCAAAAGGTAATGTGGTTTTAATATAGTCATAAGTGGGTGTAAACTGAGGCAGTCTCCTGGGTGTAAACTGAGGCAGTCTCCTGGGTGTAAACTGAGGCAGTCTCCTGGGTGTAAACTGAGGCAGTCTCCTGGGTGTAAACTGAGGCAGTCTCCTGGGTGTAAACTGAGGCAGTCTCCTGGGTGTAAACTGA